ATTTCAAAATGACCCCCATGGTAACTTTATGGGGAAACCTAACATTAAAAATTTGGAAAAAAATGTGATATGGAAAAATTGGAAGGAAATGGGCACATTGACTTTGGATCAACTGATAATGAGTTTTTAATTTCCATTCTGTTAAAAGAAGAATATTCCTCCACCAGAAGTAACTCAATAGCAATATTTACAGCTAGATTTGTTAACATTGTTTGGACTAGCAGCATTTTCATTTTTTAAGACACATCTGAGATACTAGATACTAGAACAACTGGCTAAGCCATTAGAACTAAAAAAAAAAAAAAACCCTACTATTAGTTTTCTTATATATTATGAGGGGAATAAAGAATTAGAGGGTCCTGTTGCCCAGACAATGGGAGAGTGTTTTAATTTATATAGCAAGAGTGTGAATGGCAATTTATATAACAAAAAATAATGTTTAGAATTTATTAGTGTCCATTACATTTGTACAAAAAAGGAATTGTCTAAGTCAGTGATGGCTAACCTTTTTGCCATCACATGCCAAAAGCAGGGAGAGTGTGGGGGGGTCACACACACACGTGCCCACATCCATAATTCTATGCACCCTGCCTCCCTGTGCTCCCCCCGCTTTTGGCACACGATGGCACTGTGGGCCTGGTAGGCCTGTTTTTCACTCTCCCCAGGCTCCAGAGCCTTTCTAGGAGCCTGGGGAGGGCAAAAACGGCCTTCCCCCCCCCCAGAGGCCCTCCAGAGGCTGGAAACAGCATGTTTCCTGACTTCTGGTGGGTCCAGAAGGCCTGAAAATCAGCTGGCCGGCACACGCATGCGTGCCGGAGCTGAGCTCACGTGCTCACTGATATGGCTCCACGTGCCATAGGTTCGCCATCACAGGTCTAAATTCATGCATCTTAAAGTTGCTGAGGTTGACAAGCATTGGTCTAGACTGAAATAATACTAGCAATACAGAGTTCTTGTTTAATTACATTAGGGGTGACCATATTCCTTCCAAGTGGAGGGTTCTAGATAATGTTTTCTATGAAAACAAACCTGGAGTTATGGCGGTCACATCTGGGCAAACCGGAATCTTAAATCCGAGTGGATTGCTTTGCAGAGGTTTCACCTTTGATTAGATTTATTTTTTCTTAATCAGTTCAGCATTTGTATTTCATGCAATCAAAATCAGTTATACATTCCCACAAAAGAAGTAAAAGGCATGCTGAGGGACAGAGATTTACACCTTTGACTCCATGGAGAGGATATAGATAGTCCTCGACTTACAACCACAACTGAGCCCAAAATTTCTGTAATTCGGTGAGACATTTGTTAAGTGAGTTTTGCCCCATTTTACAACCTTTCTTGCCTCAGTTGTTAAGTGACTTACTGCAGTTGATAAGTTAGTAACATGGTTGCTAAGCACATCTGGCTTACCTATTGATTTGGCTTTTCAGAAGGTCACAAAAGAGGATCACATGACCCCAGGACACAGCCCCGGTCATAAATATGAACCAGTTGCCAAGCATCTGAATTTTGATCACATGATCAACTGTGAAAAATAGCCATGAGTCCCTTTTTTTCAGTACCATTGTAAATTTGAACAGTCACTAAACAAACTGTTTACTTTCCCTAAACTTTCCTTTTTACTTCCAATGATAGTACTTTTGGTAGAAAAATAGAATTCTGGTTTTTTTTATTACAACTATTCAGATGCTTTAGGAAAAGATATAGAATTGATACAGAATATATAAATTGGTATAAGCTGAGCAGAAAACAAAGCAACAGATTCAGATATATTCAACTGACCATAATTCCATAACCCTCGCACCTATTTTTCAGAAGTTTTAGCATCTTCTCTTTGCTCCAAAAATCAAAACGGGGGACCAAATGTCTTCTCCCTTCGAACTTTCAAGACTTCTTAAAATATCGCAAGAGTCTTTATCCCCTCAGAAGGGGCAATTATGCCTGCAAATTCCATCCCATTCTGCCAAGTTCTAAAAATTATTAAAATAAATATATTTGAAATGGAAAAGTACATAATACAAAAACCCTCTGAAGTATTTATCTTCCATTTGATAGATTACATCCCTCCAAAAAGGCAGCTTTATGCCTGCAAATTTCAGTTCTGTCAAAATTTTTAAAACATTATTGTTCTTTCTCTGAATGAAAGTCAGGGGGGAGGGGGAAATGAAGCCACCAGTTTTCTGCAGGTTGGTTTTGGACCCAGAATAGAGGAGGGTCATGTCTGAAGTCACATCAGCTCAGCACAGAAATTCCAACTAAACATCTGAACTAAATCTTCTACTGCAAGGTCCCATGTATGAATTGTGCCAGTGATTTCTTATTATATGCCCAGATGTCTGATACTAAATATTTGTGCTGGAGTTAAATATGCCTAAAAGTGACAAGTAAGCCTGATGCATACGTTCTAGTCCTTGTATCAAAACCTACATCATCCTTCTTCAACCTGATGACCAAAATAGCCACTGAATCAGTAGTGGGTTTCACTTACCTTCGCTACTGGTTTGGAACTGTGAGCGCGCATGCAGAGTGTCCATGATGACATCCGGGTGGGTGGGCGGAGCCTCCCACCGCTGCCACTACTGGTTCGCCCTAACCGGGGCAAACCGGTAGAAACCCATCACTGCACTGAATCTGCCTGCAGTACAGTAGTAAATTCTATAGCCAAAGCTGGTCTAACTGATTCACTCTGGTTTGCATAAACTGATTGTTAGATAGATAGAAGATAGATAGGTGGATGGATAGAGATATAGGTAATATATAGACATTCTGCACTACATTGAATAAAACTTTTCTTATATTTTATTTTTTTTCCCCCAGTTTATACAGCCATCCATCTCACAAGCAAGTGGGCGATATACACCAAGATTAAAACAATAAATACCTAAAATGATTACCAAGAACAAAAAATTAAAACATTAAAATCTATAAAAACAGCTAAAACAAAATTAATAAGCAAAGGGATGTTAGTACTAATGGAGCCACCTCACCAGTTTACCCCAGGGGTGAAGTCCGGCAGGTTCTGACAGGTTCTGGAGAACCGGTAGCAGAACTTTTGAGTAGTTTGGAGAACTGGCAAATGCCACCTCTGACTGGCCCCAGAGTTGAGTGGGATTGGGGATTTTGCAGTATCCTTCCCCTAGAGTGGGACGGGAATGGGGATTTTGCAGTATCCTTCTCCTAGAGTGGGGAAGATTTTGCAGTATTCTTCTCCTGGAGTGGGGTGGGAATGGAGATTTTGCAGTAACCTTCCCCTGCCACGCCCACCAAGCCATGCCCACAGAACCAGTAGTTAAAACAATTTGGATTTCACCACTTGTTCACCCCTTTTCTGGGGTCCCTCAGCCTGCTGGCACAACCAATTCTTAAGGGATCTTTGGAAGTCTAGAAGTGATGAGGCCATCCTCACTTGGTGGGGGGGGAGAAGATTTCACAGTCAGGTGGGCCACAGCAGAAAAGCCAAATGTCATTCCCTAGATGATAGAAGCTATAACACACTCATTCTGTTCAATCTAGTGGGGCAGGTGGATGAAATTGGGGAAAGACCTTCATTTTATTAAACCCCTTTCATTGTTCTACAGCAAGCAGTTGAAGATGTACACTACAGTATATGAGTGGGCAGACTACTAGAAAGATTGGGTTGGACCAGTGATTTTACTTTGCTACTCCAAAGCTAATTAGTGCAGTGCCAGTTGTTCATTTACCTGTTCTTTCAGAACAAAAATAACACAGGCTAAGCACATATAACATTGGCCTTTATATAATTTGTTTAAAACTGGTAGCAAATTTAGCATCTCTAACACCAATACTTCACTTGCCCTTAAGGCATGTGAAATTAACAGAATAGCAGAGCATGCCAACACCTTCTCTTTATTTTTTAAGCTATAAAAAAACCAAAGACAACAATAGAAAAACACATACAAAAATTAGGCCACTTAAAATGCTATTCGATATAAAATTGCACTGGAGTATATTGGAATAAAACATATTTTATTGCCAGTAGTTATCACTGTGTTTTCTTCTGCAGTGATCAACTTTAACCAGTGTTGTTACACTAAGTGTGTAAGAAAGTCTTATTTGTAATATCTCTGAAAACAGATCTGGCCTTTTAAAAGCAAACACCTATAAGGCTTGGCCTAGCTTTATTTACTTGATTCTTTGGGCTTATCCAGGTTTTCTTCTCAAGTGAGTTCTACATATCACAGTTCAATATCAATCTTTCTAGTTGTCTTCATGGGTACACTTATTAAGTGGGAAACATTTGAAGAACTCCTTTCTCAAAGAAAGGAATTTAAAAGAAAATAAGAACTTGATTAATTACAATTTCCAGCAGATTCAGTCAGCTTGGCTAATTCTGAGTAAAGCTTGAAGTTTTAGTTCAACAACATCTTGAATACCACATTTTGCCAATATTGCATGAATGAATATTGACGTATACTCATTCAATAAAGTGAATATTTACATGTAAGCCAAGCCTTCTATGATTAATGACACAATTGGCCATAGGCATTTCTGAGAAGGTTTTCCCAATTATTTATTCCACATCTTAATTTTTCCATGTGGAATTGTAAACAAAGAAACTGTGAAAAATTAAAATTATTGTTTACCTCACTCCAACCCCCACATCATAATAGGCACACTTTCGTTGCAACAATTCCAAACTTCCTCAACTATAGAAATGACTCTGGGGTCACTTTGAGCCACATTAGATTCAGGTATAAATATCATTTGTCTGCAAAGGTATCATCATAACATAAGGTCTGTAATGAATGTTGACAAGGTACAGGGAACGTACAAGCTAGCAATATCAATTTTAGAACTTCAGTGAGGCCTACACAGTTATAGATCCACTCAAGTAAATGCATCTCATAAAGAGTATATAAGAATGTGAAAGCATAGAAAACAAAATATCCAAAAATATAGTTATGTCATGTGAGGAGAGACCAGAGAAAATTATGTTTTCTTCCCTGTTTCTTTACCCATTCCTCTGTTTTTCCCTTCAGGCTTTTCATCCTTAATAGCACATATTATGGATTCAGTAAAGCCTGAGAAATTTCAGCCTTCGCAAAATCACAAAAAGCCCTCTGAAGGTCACAATAAGAAACTGAGCAAATGTTCAGCTTGGTGGGACACAATGTTGTACAAATACATGCTAAACATAAATGAGAAGAAGTTGAAATTAAAATAAAAACCTTCAATAACTGGAAGAAAGAAGTAATGCTACCAGGTATGTGACTTTTAATAGGCCCAAACTGGATTTCACTCCCTCTTTTTCATATTACTACCAACTTGATTATATAAATGTTGAGTATTCATTTTGCATTCCCTTAGCATGTTAATTCTCCAAAGCCCCCATATTATTCTGCTTCATTTGACCTGAATCTGACTTCTTGCATTTCCCAAGCTACTGTTCACTCAGTGGTTAATTAAAAGATTAAGTCTTTGACACAAAGCTTACAACCCTTATTGGCACCCATTAGCCCAGCTAGACTAATTCTCCTGAAAACCAAACCACCTTATGTTCTTGGGGTCACAAGTGTAGCTTCAATTCCCTAAATCTTTAGCATTCATTGCTAAGTTAATTCTGTGAAATAAGTCTGCTCTGGGAGTCTACGGTTGAATTTAGAAATGGAATGGGAGCAAAATGAAATCTGTTTTGTCTGCATTTTTTTCCCAAGGAATCAAGCCAACTTAAAGAAAATACTGCCACCCTTTGTCTTTCTAACATTCAGAGTACAATGAGCATAGTTTGTAAAGGAACAACTGAACTGAACAAGGTGGGGAGCTGAACTTGATAACCTAAATAACTCATTCCCACTTTATGATTCTAGGATAACGAAAAGATTCATGAATATCAATTTCCATGCAATAATATAATCTAGATAATTCAGAAGTTCTGTTTGTGCATTGTAGGAAAGGAGTCATGCTGTTTCCCTCTCAACCTCTAATCATGCTTCCCTGGGGCTGTTTCATCCTTTGATACCTACAGTATATCTTGAGCATGATCTCCTAACTCTGTTATTGGAACAGTATTCTACCATGCCTTTTGTTCATATGGTGCACCTATAGATTAAGAGATGGATGTATTACTGGAAGCAAAAGAGGAGTCTCCCTCCTGTATCATCAGGTTAATGGCTTTCACATAAGTCAGTTTGAATAGGCCTACAGTACTCTCCAATATGATAATTCACATTAATCTGTTTGTCAAGAATGTGGCATATTCTAAAAAGGAGAAAACAATACCCCTGTCAATGTAAAACAGTTGTCTAGCCATCTTTCCTCAATTAATATTTATCTCCACCCAGTAACCCAGGAGTGTCAAAGTGGCGGCCCATGGGCCAGATGCATTGTGCGCAGGCCATGCCCATCCCGGCTCCATGAATGGAAAAAACATCATGAAACATCACATGATGGCAATGTGACACGGCGAGTTTGACACCCATCTGCAGTGGTGGGATTCAAAAATTTTTACTACCAGGGCGTGGCTTGGTGGGCCTGGCATGGCTTGGTAGGCATGGCAGGGGAATGATACTGTAAAATCTCCATTCCCACCCCACTCCAGGGGAAGATTACTGCAAAATCCCCATTCCCTCCCGATCAGCTGGGACTCAGGAGGCAGAGAATAGATGGGGGCAGGGCCAGTCAGAACTGCTATTTACTGATTCTCTGAACTTCTCAAAATTTCCACTACTGGTTCTCCAGAACTGGTTAAAACCTGCTGAAACCCACCTCTGCCATGCATACCTCAGACACAGTGGTGATTTCCTGCTTTCTAACGAATATAAATCACATGGCACAGCTGATCATTGGAAATACCGGTTCGGACCAACTGGTAGCTTTTTTTTTTACTACCAGTTTGTCCAAACTGGTGCGAACCAATAGCATTTTACCCCTGCTCAGGTAGCATAATATAAAATGATGTCATCTACTTCATTCTTCTCCCTGGGGAATTTCAATACTATTTCTGAATTCTAAGCTTTCATTGAGACTAGCAGGTTATGAGGCTGAGGATATTTCTCTCTTGGCTGATGGACTGGAAACAACAGCTAATGGAGGCCTCCATTGGCTTTCAAAAGCATCAACCATCAACTAGAGAGAAGGCCTACTTTATAGGATAAGGTATTTATCTGGGCTTTGCAAAGCAATTAACCATACCATTTTCTTGCTTGAAGGAGATTGGATTGGTCTTTAGAAGTGTGTCTCATCCTAAAATCTTGCTCTCAGAGCAAAAAAACATTATGGGCTGCAGTAGAAGGTCTTTTTCACACTGCTATTCCATTCTAAGGAATCCTTAGAGCAAGATACCAAATCTGGCATCTTGCCCCAGTGCCATCTTTCTTCCCATAGTTTCCTGGGATAAGGCTCCAACCATTTAGGGATTATTCAAAAAAATATTCTGGATTTGGCCTGGAAACACATTACTAATGAAAGAAGCTGTGCCAGTAAGGATCTCATACAATTGTGTTGATTTATGTTTCCTAATAAGCAGGAGTCAGTTTATATACTACCAATAACTCTGAACTATCTCAAAAGTCAACCCTATATAGGATATATTACAGTAAAGTAATCTGGAAGTTACCAAAACATGAATGACAGGAACCAGATCAAATTCTCCATGCCAAGGACATTCCTTTTGAAAACCCCAGCTTTTACACTCAGAATATTGAAACAAGTCTAAATTCCTAGGTGTGTGTGAGAGAGAGAAAGAAGGCAGAGTTTAATAACAATATACAAAAGTAGCCATTCAGGAATTCTATTTAAATTAAGAGGAGCTATCATTAAATCCAACCTTTCCCCTCACAAATATAGCATCTGGAATCACTCAGGTTCCAATATATTTCTTTTAATTATTCCAAACTAACCTCCTCCGGTCCTACTACAAGCCCCTAGCTACTTCAGGCAAAGACGCTATAATGATTTCAATTAAATCTTGGCCTCTCCCCAACATAACACAAATTAAAAGCATTACTAGGAGATACAGGCTTCATTGGTTGGAAGTGTTATATAAAGAAAAAGGAAAAGTTGCCAAGAGCTTGTTGTCATTTTGCTGGCAGTGGGAGCGGATTAACCCCTTGATGTCTGGTTTGCTCTTCCTGATAAACATTCAGGCCTGTAAGACTCCATTTCCCTCAGCCTTTTTTTTTTTTTAAAGTTATAAGGTAAACTGATCTGAAACTGACATTTGCAAAAATGGGTGGATTTTCCTTTTAAGTTAATACACAGCACTATTGGTCATTCAATGTGAATGTGGTAGTCCTTTGTGTTCGAATAGGATATATTATAATGCAGTTCATCTGTGGATAGAGAGGTGACTCTGCAACCCCAGTCTGGAAACCCAAGGTCTAGCCCAGGGGTGTCAAACCCGTGGCGTCACAGTGGTGTCACATGATATATCACAACTTTTTCCCCTTCACTAAACCAGGCATTGGCATGGCCAGTGCATGACACATTTGGCTCACGGGCTGCAAGTTTGACAGACCTGGTCTAGCACAACAGGAGCACTGGTAATTTGTTGTTGTAGTAACTCTGGGTGTTATTCTGTGATGCTGCTCACAGTTTTCTATCAATTTTGGGCTGCATCTGTCTTTAAAGCTAGTGGCGGCTTTGTAGCACAGCGCTTGCCAGTGGGTTCTGTCAGTAGCTACAGCTTCTAGGTTCCTTAGCTGGATGTCACAGTAGTGTAAGGTTTCTTTCACAGCATCTTCTTAGACTTTGCATGGTCAACCTTGAGATCTCTTCCCAGACCCAGTACACTATAGAGCAACTAGTGAGCCATATGATCATCCCTTCTGTTGCAAGCTATAATTTCTAAATGACCTTCAAGGACAGCTCTATGTAGACTATATAATAGTTGAAATGACAAATGACTTTCCCATGAATAGGGCCTCCCATTCCAGAAATGCTTGCAATGATTGCACAAAATAGATTTGATTTTTGAGATCCCCAAGTTGTACACTAGTTATAACTGGGGGATTGCTAGCCCATTCAAAACTCATGATGGAAGTTCCCATATCTTTGGTTCAAAACACCCATAGCCACTATTCAGAACTATTCAGAATATTCACTATTCATCATCTCCAGCATTGGGAAAGGTCCTTGGCATCCTCAGCCAGATCAGCTAGAAGTAGAGATGTTCAATAGAATATAGTCATACTAATGGATTTTCTCACCTAATATCTTTATGTAGATGATAAATAGGAGTATGTAAATAGTATAGCCATGACGAATCTTACAGAGCAGGAGCTTAGAGCTAGACCTCTTTTTCCCATGAACACCAACTGGAAGTGGCTTAGAAAAAGTAGGAGAACCACTACAACACCATGCCCCACTTCTCAAATTCTGAAGCCAATCGAGAAAGATCCAATGATTGGTGATAACAAAGGCCACTGAGAGATCATGGAGGTCCTTGATTACCATCCCATTTTGATCTTACCAAAATTTATCAGGTAAAATCAATAATTTAATTTAATTTATTGCATTTCTATGCCGCCCAACTTCCAAGGGACTCTGGGCAGCTTACAGCAAAAATAATGTGAACAATGAACATAGACAAATTTTTAAAAAACATTATAAAAACATTTTAAAAACATTAAAAGCCCATGCACACCATTCATGGCTGGATCTCGCAAGATTGCACAGCGAGATCAACGGCCCCAGACCTGCCGGAAAAGTCAGGTCTTCATCGCTTTCTGGAAGGCCAATAGGGTGGGGGTAGTCCGGATCTCAGGAGGTAACTGCTTCCAGAGAGCTGGGGCAGCCACAGCATTGTTTAGCTGATGGGACCCGGATGAGACCAACTCTGTGGGATCTTATCGGCTGCTGGGAGCTATGCGGTAGAAGATGGTCTCAAAGATAGCCTGGCCCTGAGCCATGTAGGGCTTTAAAGGTAATAACCACCACCTTGATTTGTGCCTGGAGATCAATAGGGAGCCAGTGCAGCTCATGGAGAATTGGTGTAATGTGGGTGTATCTTGGTGCACCCATGACAGCTCGCACAGCTGCATTCTGGACCAACTGTAGTCTCCGAAAACTCTTCAAGGGTAGCCCCATGTAGAGCGCATTGCAATAATCTAGGTGCAGTGAGAAGGGCATGAGTGACTGTGAGGAGAGCCTCCTGATCCAAGTAGGGTCGCAATTGGTGCACCAGGCGAACCTGTGCAAAGGTCCCCCTAGCTACAGCTGCCAGATGTTGCTCTAATCTTAGCTGTGAGTCTAGGAGGACACCCA